ATTTCTTTGATCACTTCCTGTAACGACCGGAAGTGACGGCTGACGCTATTAACCCAAAGAGTTTTGCCTACTCATTAAGTTCTATTACTCATATAAGTTTGGTGTCTTAATCTCTTACCGTTTTTGAGATCTCAGTTTGACAATTTCTTATTTTGCGGACAGTAAAACACGCGACCGGAAGTGAATTTTACCAAGATATTTGACGTTACTCTAGACATTTGCAGTCTAAATAACATATCTAAAAATCATTTCAAATACTTCATCTATAAGCGATATTTATTGGAAAGTAAAATACTCAAATTATGTAGTTTTTCGCTTATAACCGGAAGTTGACGTTTCTGTTTCCGGTGGGACCAACATATTTCGAAACTGCGAAACAGATGCAATAAAGTGATGCAAAATTTGATTAAAATAAGAAAAGTTGAAATTTTCGATTTCTTTGATCACTTCCTGTGACGACCGGAAGTGACGGCTGACGGATTTAAACATGTTCCACAAACGTACTTGTCATGGTCTATAATCCCTGAAAGTTTGCTGTCTTAATCTTTTACCGTTTCTGAGAAAACGTCCGGACATGATCTCTTTTGAAAAAACGGAAATCGGACATATCTGACGACCGGAAGTGAATTTTGCAAAATCCTTCAAAATGTTTTGAGTTTTTTCAATTTTACATAATCCCTGAAAGTTTCAAGAAAATCCATTGAGTCATCTCTGAGAAATCGCTTGGACAAAAAATGGGAAAATAATAATAATAATAATAATAACTAGATACTTATTGCCTAGGCAATAACAGGTCTTCCGTTTTCTTGACTTCTTTGAAAAACAAACAGAATCTTCTCAATAAGATTACTCTAAATAATTAACAAAAGTTATCTCAAGGCTTCCAAAGATATGTAAATACAAGTAAAAACAAACGGAATTACTTTCCTGTTTTCTTTATGTACTTCGTCGTGAACGAAAGTGCTCCAAATGAATAAAATGTTCATTCTACACCTAAATTATTCACAACTGATCATCCTTAAAAGTTTCCATGAAAAACTACTCATGTTTGAGACAACTTCCGGGTTTTCGGTTGGCACTTCCGGTGAAAATAATTTGCATGGTTATGGTCTACCTAACATTTGCATTAGCCAAACATTTCTGTAAAAAGAAGAAAAAACTTTAAAAATTCACTTTTTCATCGCTTCCTGTCACTACCGGAAGTGACGGCAACGTACGATTTTTACATGATGTAGATAAACTGAGGACTGACTATTAGTTCTGAAAGTTTTAGACTTCAGCAATGTACTGTTTCTGTGCAATTTGGTGAACAAAATCTCAATTTGAGGACAGAAAAACACGCGACCGGAAGTGCATTTTCATAAGATGGTTATCGTCACACTAGGTAATTGCAGTTTCAATAAAATATATGAAAACCATTTCAAAGACTTTATATATAAGCAATATTTTTGGGAAAGTTAAAAATCCCAATTACATAGTTTTCTCTTATAACCGGAAGTTGTCGTTTTTTGTTTCCAGTGAGACCAACACATATAGAAACTGTGAAAGAGATTCAATTATATGATGCAAGTTTTATTTCAAAAGATAAAAGATAAAATTTTTGATTTCTTTGATCACTTCCTGTGACGACCGGAAGTGACGGCTGACGCTCTTAACCCAAAGGGTTTTGCCTACTCATTAAGTTCTATTACTCATATAAGTTTGATGTCTTAATCTCTTACCGTTTTTGAGATCTCACTTTGACAAGTTCTTATTTTGCGGACAGTAAAACACGCGACCGGAAGTGAATTTTACCAAGATATTTGACGTTACTCTAGACATTAGCAGTCTAAATAACATATCTAAAAATCATTTCAAATACTTCATCTATAAGCGATATTTATGGGAAAGTAAAATACTCAAATTATGTAGTTTTTCGCTTATAACCGGAAGTTGACGTTTCTGTTTCCGGTGGGACCAACATATTTTGAAACTGCGAAACAGATGCAATAATGTCATGCAAGATTTAATTAAAATAAGAAAAGTTGAAATTTTCGATTTTTTTGATCACTTCCTGTGACGACCGGAAGTGACGGCTGACGGATTTAAAGATATTCCACAAACCTACTTGTCATGGTCTATAATCCCTCAAAGTTTGGTGTCTTAATCTTTTACCGTTACTGAGAAAACGTCCGGACATGAACTCTTTTGAAAAAACGGAAATCGGACATATCTGACGACCGGAAGTGAATTTTGCAAAATCCTCAAAAAAGTTTTTAGTTTATTTAATTCTACATAAACCCTGAAAGTTTCAAGAAAATCCATCGAGCCATCTCTGAGAAATCGCTTGGACAAAAAATGGGAAAAAAATAATAATAATAATAATAATAAACAGTACAATCACTATAAGGTCTTCCGACTGAAACGGAAGACCTTAATAAACAGTACAATCACTTTAAGGTCTTCCGACTGAAACGGAAGACCTTAATAATAATAGAAAACAGACGGAAAACAATAAGGTCTTCCGAAGGAAGTCGGAAGACCTTAATAAAAAGGGACGGGTGTGCGTGAGAAAACGTTAACACTGTTCCCTAATGAAAATGTATTAATGGACTGTAGCCCGATTCATTGATATTGTGAGCATGCTGAATTTTTTGAAAATAGCTTAGTTGTAAGCTTAAAAGATCGGGTTCGGATTTTAACATTTCTGACTGAATATCCTGAAATAAATATGAAACATTTAAATAAGCATTTCATTGGGTTAAATTAAATATGTGTAGCACAAACACCCAACATGCATTTTTAGAAGGGAAACACGACAATGAAAGCGAGAACTGTTTTTAATATACCGAAAATCGCTATTTCTGGAAACTGATTAATTCTAAATAAAAATCAAATAAATTCCAAATGTAAAAGAAAGAGAGAATGCTTGGTATTAAAATGTCGTATCATATCAGGAAAATCGAATGCTACTAACGACATCTGAAGAAATAGCCGATAAAAGGTTTAGATCATTTCTTCGTTCACCTGCACTTTAATTTCAAACACAACAGAACTTGTAGTTCTTGCCGTGAAACTTCATGACTTCTATAAACTTATAAGACTCACCGTAAAACTCTCAAGAAAGTTTCTCTGAGGTCTATACTACATATGTACCAAATATGTTGTCGATCCGAGGTCTGGTTTGAATTTTACAGAAATATTCTACGTTGTTGTTGATGTGATTTTTTTTTTAAGAAGGGGGGGGGGGGAATGAATTATTTATTTTATGCCTCTTTTAAACTAAGAATTGTAACTACTTTCACATCTTTAAGCCTGATTGTGACCTTTGGGTCAAGATCAAAGGTCAAGGTCATTTCCAAAAAAAACCCCAAAAAAAACCGAAACAAAACAAAACAAGGAAATCTTTACTTTCTATGTTTTTACCTGATACTGGAGCTGGATGCATGTCCTTACTTTTCATTTGACCCAATGTCAAGGCCAAAGGTCAAAGTTCAAGGTCATTTGGTGAATTGCTATATTTTACACATATATAAGGAATTTCTTATGTTTTTAAATGACTTTGACCTTGACGTATATTTCAAGGTCAAAGTCAAACATGCCGATGCAGTTGGTCCCATGTCTCTAGGATACACCGTTTTAAAAAAAGTTCATTAAATGTAAGCAGCATAAACTTTCAGGGGTAGTAACTCATACAAGGGACCAAAGAATGCTTTTGCAATGATAGAATGAAGAGAGTATTAAATGAGTCGAAGACTGCTGCTGAAGGCTTGGAATCTCTACGTTTTACGGTTTCGGAGGAGTAGCGATAACAAGGTTTTATTGCAAAAGGGTTGACAACTTTTGAATGGGTCAAGCTTTGGGGACAAGAATGAAATCCTTAAAATAGTTTTAGAAGAACATATTATAGATGCAAAGATATTTAGTATATGTCGAAAGGTTTTCTACAGAATCTCTGACAAAAAAACTTTTAAAAATCAGCAAAAACTACCATACATGTTTTTAAAGAGAGAGAAGTCATTAGCAACTGAAAAAAAGAGAAAAACAAAGAAAAAAAATTAACTACCTCCAGCAGGATTCGAACCCCAGACAGTGGGACAAAGTTTGGATCGGTCATATCTTTGCAATAAATGCACGCATCAAAATATTGAATACATATTTAGAATTCTTGTAAAACACTCTATAAACCTTGTAAATCCTAAAGAAAAATATTGAAAAACAAAAAAGTTGAAAAATTGAACTTTTTGAATTCACTTCCGTTTGCGACCGGAAGTGCCGACGACGAAAAATAAAGGTCGTTCCCCATATTGGAATTTGATGTTCTATTTATTCATTGAGTTTCAATTTCATATCTTTAGCCGTTGTCGAGAAAAATTCTGGACAAAATGCCATTTAAAAAATACAAATTTCCCCAAAAATCGCGAACAGAAGTGAATTTTGAAAAAATGAAAAACACGTCTGGAGATATTTACATGATGCATCTTCCGCGAAAAAATCTCTGAAATCTGCTCACTCACAGCTGAGATATCGCCATAACTATGAAAAAAAGAATAATAATAATAATAATAATAGAAAACAGACGGAAAACAATAAGGTCTTCCAAAGGAAGTCGGAAGACCTTAATAATAAGAAACAGAGTAAAAACAATATGTTCCCAAACTTCGTTTGGGGAACATAATTAAGGTTTTTCTTTAATTTAAGTCATATCTTTTCTGGTTCTTGGTTCATGAAAGGATGATGACCCTAGGCTATTTTCACTATTTTTTATAATTTTATCTTGAGAATTGATTTTAGTCCTTCACCTGAACACCTTGAAGAACCTTTTATCCAATGATATTTTGTGCCAAACTTGGTAGAAACTGGTCCTGTGGTTCTGTGTTTACGTTGAACCCAAATTAAGAAAAATTAACAGACAGCAAAAGACAAATGCCATACAAAAGGATGTTGACAAATTCTGATCAGAAAAGCTCACTTGAGCCTTTGCCTCAGATGTCTCAGAGGAAGTTTTCAGTGCTAATGACCTTAAAAATAGAGAATCCAATAGTTTTCTCCTGATCTCCTGTAGCTGTCCGGCTAGTTTTCTGTAGCAAGTGAAACATTGGCTCATCGTCATCCTCTGTGATATCAAAACGAAACTGAAAATAAATCACAGATACATGAAATAAAAATCATAAAATAATACACTACAATATTCAATCTTTGTACTCCAAACTATCAATTTTTTTCACCTTAATATACATCTGTGGTTTAAGCAAGTTTAAGATCTTTGTTGTCAAATGAGATTTCTTTAGGAGATGACCATTCTAATTGGTTGTAATGATACATTAAAACAAAATTGCAGTACCTGTGGATTCTTGGTGAATGTTTCCTTATGATTAATGCAGCCCCCAGCTCTCCCTGGAGTTTTCCACGCCCCATGGGCTAGTCCCTCATGCCAGGTTTTACTTAGTGAAAACATAGAGGTATTGACAACTCGACAAATGGCTGTCTGTACAAAGTACTTGCAATAGTCATCAAATGTCATCCTGGTATACAAAGAAACAAAAATCGTATGGGTCACAGTAAGAAATCAAATATACATGCAGTGCTAAAATGAGCTTAAATTTAATTCTTTTGAGGAGAACAGTTTCAAGAACTGACAATGAATTAAATTTTTTAATCAAAAAAATTCAACCAGGCTTATAAGTGATGAAATTGCAGAAATGTAAGAAATTGGAATTATAATCTAAACTGTAGTGATTTGGTAAAAAATTACAATTTGATGTTAAGAATATTAAAATGTTATGCCAGATATACATTTACAAGATACAGGCAACACCAGGCAGGTTAGTTTCTAACATAGACAGAGAACTTTTTTTTCTAAAAAAAAAAGCTTTGTTAATTAACAAAAGTAACTAGAAAACTGACCAGTCAGCAAGGGCCCCGCGAGGGGTAGAAATATAAGGGTGCAGCTAAAAGAATGAGAATTTTAAATGATTACAAAAATTTAAAATATATGAAGAAGAATATGCAATAACAACTGTATTTATAAAATTTCAAGATAATTCCTAAATATCCAACAACCTGTAAAGAGTATCCCTGTATTTACATAAGGCAGTAAAAAACAACACATCTATAATAACTCAATTAAATGTATATTTAAACAAGAATACAGCATGTGTTTTCAAATATCACCCAGGCTTGACCTTAACTTCAAAACAAACATCAGTTGCAGACAAAGGTTAATTTATCTTAAAGTGACAACTAAAGATAAGCCTGGAAAATCTTCTGCCCCAGACACGATAATTAATTGTACTGCTCTCTTATCCTTTTCTTCCAAGTTTACAATCAGAACTCTTTCAGTAATGATAGAATGAGATTATTATTGGACTACCCATTATAATTAATAGATTTCTTGAATTTAAAAAAAAATGAATAAATAAATAAAATAAATAAATAAAAACAAAAAAATTAAAAAAAAAAAAACATATCATTATGTTTATCTTGTTTTTAGAATTCAATAAAATCATAACTCATTGTATATTTTACCAAAATAAAGTATGAACATTATTTAAATCCACATTTCAGAGAATGTAAACATCATTCAGAATTGACCTTAACTTCAAAACAAACTTCATTTGCAGACACAGGTGTTAATTAATCTCAATTTGACAGAAACAGATAATGCTTTGGATTTTCTTCAAGAGGAAAGTTAATTAATCCCATGGGACTAGTTGCAGCTTTCATGGTTTACATTAGGAACATTCTCAGCAGTTATCTCTCTTTGCCCTGGCATTCATTCTAATGTAAAGTTAAGGAATCTACCCCACCACCCCAGCTCCAAATTGGATGACATAGAGAACCAAACTTAGCATCAAAATATGTCTTACTGCCTCTTCAACCAACATACCAAATTTGAACTTAATTGGTCAACTACAAAAAAAGTTATTAGAAAAAAACAGAAAATTTGTGGATGGAAGAATGACAGACGGACAGACAGACAGACAGACAGATAGACAGAGTGATTACTATAGGGCACCCGCAAATCCTTGCGGGGCCCTAATTACCAAAATTCTCCATCCTCTTCAAAAGTAAGGCCAATTTTATCTCTGTCATCTTTTGAAATCTTCTGCCATTCAGGTGACCTACAAGAAAAACAAAAAAAAATTTTTTCTTATACTAGCTGATCTTCATTATAGATTCCGGGAAAGCAAGAATACCAAAAGATGCAAGTCTACATTTTGTCCCATTGCACCTTCATTTACTTTACTTTTTTCCTATATCATTAACAACCTTTTTCAGCACTGCAAATTGTTTTGTCTTTCTTCCAAAGTTTATAAAGGCCACAAGTGGAAAAGTAAGCAAAAGACAAACAGATGTAAAGATAAACTGTTTTTTAAGCTTTTCAATAAACATGTGTTCTTCAAAATACCCAATTACAATGTTTCTGATATTGAGAATATAATACATATACATTGTACATTCAGTATACCAGATGACAAATTATTTCAATAGTAACAGATCCACACCCTGTCACTCACCCATCACTGAAAGCCCCATTCCATTCTCCTTGTCCCCAAGGATTCCGCAGACGAATCATGGCAATTTTCTCTGTCTTGAAAAAGCTGAAGAGTCCAGAACCCTCCAGAGGAACATTTTTGACAGCTGTGACCCCATAGGCATGACCTTTGACCAGACCAGTTTCTGTTGCAGCCTCCATTTCTTCTGAGGACTCTGCCTACAATAAAAGAGATAAAAATGTATAAATGATTGTAAATTTCTTATTGTCTGCTTCCTAAAATTTTATTATTTAGCCATGTTGAATAATTGATCTGTAATACATTTTTGACCTTTCACATCCGCAAACAATTAATGCCTTTTAAATTAGCTCAGACTCAGTTATGTTGGCGAGATAATGCTATCTTTGAATTCTCCCCATTTTAAATTTGTCCACTTGCAACAAGGGTGAAACAGGCGAAAAGAAAAGAAGGGCAAAAAAAAATTCCCTGTATACAGTAATATCTTTAGTTTCTATTTCATTATCATGTGTACAAGGAACCATATATGGATACATATCTTGATCAACTTACGAAACAACTCCACTTCAGAGAGATAAATATTGAGAATAAGAATTGATATCAAGTTGTACTTTTTTAATTCAAAGGAATAGATACTGTAGATACATTCTGTATGCAGTTATTTTAACTTACAGGAATTTATAGTGTGGATAAATTCTTAATACATTTAATTAAACTTACAGGAATTGATGCTGCCATTAATGCTTTTCTGCCTGCTTCCTTCTGCATCCGGGCAAACAGCGTGGCTCTCTCTTGTGCGTCATTAGCTAAGTTCATTTTAACCATGTCCAGAGTGACCGACACTCCTCCCGTAAAATCCTCCAAAGCCTCATTTAACTCCCCCCCATCCAGGGCCTCATAGCATCCAAATAACCTGATCAAGATGAATTTAAGGAATTAAATTACAACTGTGTGTCATGTTTATAGCAAACATAATCTATAATAGTATTGTGTTTTAGAATTCAAAATATATTTAGTATATTGTGGAGAGGACGTATATAGGCAATGCCTGCTGTCCAATCTTTTTTATGTGTAAATCATAATAAAATATTGTTTAAAACGGACAATCAAAATTTCATTAGTTGGTGGGGACATAATTTGGTGAGTAACTTGTATACAGAAGATTCGATGAACCAATATGTTGACAAAGTTATGCATATGGAAAACTTGTGAGTTAACCTAGGGTGACCCATGAAATCAACAAACATTAGTCCCCCACAAGCAATGATGATTCCACAGTTCATGTATATACATGTTTATTTTTTTGACATCACAAAAATTATTCAAATGAATATTCATTGGAAATAAACTTTCAATCAATTTTGTAGAAATATAGGTCTGTTGATAAATATATATATTTTCAATGAATTTAAATTTCTAAGTGACAATAACCTTATTGGTTATGGAGAAAATTTGAATTTATCAACAGAGCCCACAGACCTTAATGCGTTCATTTTGCGAGCCAAATTCTCTGACATACTTATTCATCTTTCAAGTGTGTACCATTACATTAACCATTGTGAAGGGAGACTGAGTTAAAAATTCTAAGAGCCAGCTTACAAATTGTGCAAAAATTGCATATCTTGTCAAATTCATTGTTCTCTTTCATGAAGGGAAACAATGAAAACTATTGCAGCTTTGCTAGGATTCTATTTCCAAGAGATGGTCCTTCGGATGAGACCGTATAAACCGAGGTCCCATGTCGCAGTAGGTGTTGGCACGAAAAAGACCCCTCACTGCTCAATGGCCGTAAGTGCCGAGTATAGGACAAAATTTGCAGCTCTCCACCGGCAAGTGGTGGCGTCTCCATATGAAAGAAAAATTCTCGAGAGGGACGTTAAACAACAAACAAACAAACAAACAAAACAAAATTTCCAAGAGAAATAATCAGTCTAGTTAATTTGAGTGTCTGCTTTGGTAACTGAAGTTAAAGTTACATAAGTCGAAATCATGTGTTTCCCTTTAAGATGATTGTAACATAAAACAAAAGATTTATGTGAAATATGAATAAAGCGAAGTTTTGACAACTCAACTGCATTGTACAGCAAGAAAAGAAATGCAAAATGTAAGTGCTGGAAAAACAAAGGTTGTACCTATCACTAAGTTGTTATCGTCAATTTCAACAATGTCAACGTCACTTGTCTTTTATTTTTAGCGTGAAACTTGTAAACAACATTGAATTGGAGCAAGCAAAAGTGAGGAATAATTTCTGATCATCTTTATTGAAGATTGTATCAAAATCCTCGGTCATCTGACATTTATATCTATGGAATTGACACCATGGTAAATTCCTCGACTTTTCTTCGATGCGTACAATAAAGAGGAAGGAGCGAAGCAATATTTTTGTGTTGGGGCAAACTAAAATCATTTTTACTTTTTATTTTTCTCCATAAAAGTAGATTTTTTAGGTTCTGAAACCTATAATTTTCCAAAACCTAATATCTTCAAGAATTGAAAAAAATTTGCATGTGTTAAGCAAAAATTCTACTTTGGTCAATTTTCCCCTTTTTCCGTCACGCAGGGTTCGACACGTTAGTCCATTAGTCTCAGACTAATACATTTTCATTCGGACTAATAAAATCTGTGACTTGTTAGTCCGAGCGGACAAATAAAAATTTCTGGAAAACAATATGAATAAATTACCGATGTCTGATTCTCGACAACTTTTACTAGAAAACCCCACATTTATTTTTAGGTTTCTAGCTTTTGGCGGGCAATTCCGAGTCAATTCAGAGCTTTATTTTTCGATTGATCGATATGAAGTAAAAGATTATAGCGATCATGATTTAGTATGACACTTTAAAGAAAGATATTGGACGTTTTGAATGTAATGTAAAAAAAAAAAAAAAAAAAACGAGATCGGTTGATCGATTTGAATGAATCTGTGGAACAATATATTTCACGTAAATGCTTTGTTTATTTCAAAAAAAGTATAAAACGTATATTAATTGTCACGTTAAATTAATGTCTACAAACAATTTTTTTGACGGACTCATAAAATCGCGTGCGGACTAGTAAAAGTAAAGAAGCACTAGTCCGGCCGAACTAAAGCCTTAAAAAGTTAGTGTCGAACCCTGTCACGGTGTCTCTTTAATTAACGTACTAGTATAATTCACGAATCTCGCAAACAGATTAACATAAAGAATTCAATATATACACATAGTTAAATCAAATTTCTTTGCTTTCATTGTGCACAATTTTTCAAATTAAATATCAAATAAAAATTCATCTAACATGTTTAACAAGTTACTTTGCATAAGCTTTCTCCAGTAAAGCACTCCAGAACTCATTTTTGGTTTGAGAGTGAATATAGATGAGTTCATCATTGATAGTGGGCAGGAAGTCGTCAATGACAACATCAGTCCACTTCCCATATCGCCAGAACCGAAAATGGAAGATTCCCTGGTAGTTGTCTGGCTTATTCTCATCCCATTCTTGCTCCTCAGCATCTGGTATCACCTGTAAGTAAGACACTGTAAGTGTATTTTATTTGGCATGTGTGCCATTTGGCGGAAATTGATTTTTCAACAAGTTTGCTTAGATTTGATTCAGTGCTTTCTGAATGCTTTATATGAATATATATACTCAAGACATTTTGTGGAAACATTTTCCATGAAAGGCACTAAATAGAATACACAGCCAAATGTAATGTTTTGCAGTAAGTTAATAAACTGAAATGATTGTTTAGAATAAAACCCTATCTTTGTGCTATATGTATGCCCCCCTTCCACCCCTATATTCATCTACTTATGCATTGACAACCTCATCTGTCTAAGCCAACTACTCTTTTTTCAATATCAATTTAAATATAAAATGAAAAGGTTATGTAAAATTGATATAGCATTTAGTTTTCTAAATTAATTTTTAATGAAGATTCTGCACATTCACTGTAACAAGATAGGATTTTAAAAAAATTGAAATGCATGAAGGCAAGAAAACGCAAACACATATTTAAATCAATGTTGCAGCTGTTGTAGGAAAACTAACAAGCAGGTCATGTAAATTTCTTAGAGAACTGCAATAGCTACGACGTTAATTCCTGCCCTAACAAACAAAGAAAGACATTTTATTGTTTACAAATATATCTATATAAAAAATCATATAAAGCAGGATTAAGTACTTTAAGCATGTTAAGTAAGAAATAAGGTATCATTTTAAAACTTTTATCGGGATGTAAATGCAGTTTGCATGGTCATGTTATCAAATTCCATGAAGCCCAAAGGGCTTTATGGAAGATTTGATCACAAACCAACCTGTATGTGTTAAAGAAACAATATAATAGCAAATCAATCAAGTGTCTAACATCATTGAGGCTATAATAAATATTCTACTGTGAGTCAGTGACCTTGACCTACTTTATGCCAGATGTCCTTGTGAATAGCCAGACAGGATGAAGCAGCCACAAACCAACAGTTTCCTAGGCGACCCTGCTTAACATCACCAGAACTAGTTCCCTCAACAAAAAACTTTGGGTTTTCACAAATTTGCTGAAAACAAATATTAAAGGTTATGTAGCATAGTTATATTTGTCTTTAATATTTATTATTTACATTTTCTTATTTTGTAGATTTAGTTTGTTTTCAATGTTTTATTTTAATACATTCTTTCAAATAGATTGTTTTATGGATGAGTAGACCCTAGCTGCTCTGAACTGTTAATCTGACCTTGGTTAAGTTCAGGGGGAGTTTAAGAAGGAATAAAAGGAGTCAATTGATGATATAAAAGCTAGGGCTAATTTAATAATTAGTTATTGTATTATTTATTGGTTTTGGTTTACCTTTGGAATGATTCATTATGCTATTTCTGATTTATATGAATTTTACTATAGTCTTTCTACTTCTCATTGATTACAATTTTTGGTGCTTTTGATTCATTTAATATTTTGGATTAATTGGATTATATTTAACTTTACTTTGGGATTTCAATAAACATCTTTAACCTGTTATTGCATCTTATTACAAAGAGGAGGAACTTATGGAATTATATACATACAAGGGCTACTATATGGAATTATTGACATTAGATTTTAGGCTTCCAAAATATTACATAAAATGAGTTAATAACTCAGATTTCAATTTTTTTTATGTGATGGATTGATCTTGCTTGTTGTGTTGGATTGGAATTTGTAACTTGTGATTTAAATTTCACGGTGATGGAGTCGGTCTGATTCATAAATGTTAACTTGAATAAAATTGGAATAGACATCAGTTGTATAACTCTTTTTTTAAGCCCTCAAAATCATTAAGAAATAAACTTGAAACTTAGCCATCAATGATTCATTTGAACAACATCATAGAATGGAGAAATTTAAAGAAAATGCACAACATCTGGTCTAATTCAACAGGTTTTCTGCTTCATTATTAACAAAAGTAGTCAATTTCATATCATATATTTCTATACAAATCAAATGTGACTATTTCATGGGTCTAGCATTGTTTTAAATACATGTTATAATATACCCGGTAATACATTTTTAGATTTTGATAAAGTAAAAGTGATGTAGGTATTACTTTAGGCCTCTTCCAGATCACATTAGCAAGTTTTGCCTGGGAATAGAACAGCGAGCGATCGTCTGGTGGAAACTCCAGGTCTATAAACAAAGCTCCCTTGTCCTTGGCTTCTTTCTTGAGTTTTTCATAGTTCTGTCCTTTGTAAGTTTGAACGGAACCAAAACAAGGCATTTTCCTGTATGAATAAAAATAAAAAATAAATTAGAATGGCAATACCTTACAAAATCATTATCTTTAATTAGTGAACTTAATAACTAAGGTTTCATTTGAAAAAAATTAATTTTAGAAATCAGAATTTCAAGGTAAGGCCATAATAAAAAAAATCCTAGATTCTCATCCCCGCCCTGGTAAGTAGCATTTGCTGTAGAGTCGCAGTGTAAGGAGTTGATCTTTAGGTCACCGGTACAAATCCCACTGTGGGAAGACTGGTCCTTAAAGAACTATGCACGCTAACTCTTGATTCCAGCCTACACATTACACCAATTTAATTCAATACTAATGGCAATTTGGCCATAAAATCTTTGTTGCTTGCAAAGAAGAGTTCAATGGTAATTGATTAATAATTTTAATACCAGTGTTAAATAGTTAATTACTCTTAATTCTAGCTCTTTCTATAAGGGGGTAGACCATGTTTTCCATTGAAATCAGGCTTGAAAGCACCAGCATATTTTAAAATATTCTTGGATATGGATAAACGTTCTTTAAATCTTTCCTTATGTTTAACACATATAAAATTAAACATATGTAACTGATAAAATATGTTTGAGCTGTAAACCCCTTTGACATTGGTGAAAAAATGAGCATTTTTGTCGTGTTTTGTCTGTAAACATGTCCCCCCCCCCCCCCCCCCAGTGAAACACAGAAAGCTTTGGTGTGAATTAATTTGTGAAATAACAATCCATATTACCTGTAAAAAAGAATTTTTGTTTCATGGGGGGGGGGGGAGTAAGATGTTTTAATAATATTTTCCGTTTTCCACTGATTTCTAATGTGAAAAATACACGTTTTACCAAATTTATAGTTATTGCTCTTTGTTTTCCCAAATAAGTAGTGTTTTATGAAAATTCATATAAATATCTATATAGATATGAAAAATCATTCAAATATGTTAACTTTTGAAAATTGACTTGGAAGTAGGCGAGAGAACAATACTATTGTTGTTTGCAATTCTTTGGATAAGACCGTATAAACTGAGTTCCTGTGTTGCAGTAGATGCTGGCATGAAAAATAGGGCTGTCACGGTTCCAAAATTTTTCGGGTCGGGTCAGTTCTGTAAATTTTTGGTTTGCTTTCGGGTTTTTGGTTCAGTTATTTTCATCTATTTCAAACCTTAATTTCATGAATTTAACTTGAAAAATCTTTATTTGTTACGTTAAGTTCACCTTGAAAACAAGTTCTAACCATGTTAACGTTTTGATATTGGTGTTTAACACTTCTTGGCTGACTATTAGCCACAACCTGACTATTCTTGCTTGTTTTGATAATTAACTAATCCTTTTGTGACAAGTGTTTTGTTACGATCAAAATAAAGCAGATTTTAGTTGTGATGTTTATTTATCCTGTTATCGTCATCTTTCTTTGGATTTCTATGCCATTTTTTGTTTAAAACATATTCTAATATATAAACAAGATGTCCCCGAACCGAAACCGAACCAAACAACTTGGACCGCAGTTTTCGGTTATTTCGGGGAACCGTGACAGCCCTAATGAAAAAGATCCCTTGCCAGTGTGACCCCCTATTTTACATTTCATTGGGACACATATTTAGGATTTTCTTTAGTAAAACGTGGACTTCTATAATATTGGGGGTACCTATCTTTTCTCCACAACTTTTCCTAGGGATGTTTCACTTTATCAGTGTACCAGTGATTTTTTTATTGCACGATATGTATCATGATACGGAGACTAAAACCATGTAATGAAAGTTCTGTCTCATTAAATTTTATTCAGTGGTAAAGGAGGAGTTGCCATTTAGAGACAGATACCCTCAATATTATAGAAAGAATGATGTGTTCATGTTTTGCTATGGGAACCCCAAATAAGAGATGAACAATACTTCTAATTAAGTAATAAAGATTTTGTGAAAGTTTCATTGAATTGCACACCCCATCACTCACCCCCTCCCCCAACTTGAAAAGTGGGGGAGGGTTATAGAAACATTTGTGAAAAACAGTATTCATTATTCTGAATAGCTTTCTCCCATCTAGCTATTTTAAGCTAGCAAAATCAAGAGATTGTGTCAGACCTCACCTGATCTCTGGACTCCATTGATCATATGCTGATCTGCCCAATATAATACAATCATGCATAGATCGCTATTACTCATAGGATATTTGAGAAACAAATTTAAAATTCGTGATATTCTTGCAGAAAAGCAAGTACATAAGGTGAATTAATATTGTTATATTTTTATTATTTATTTAATTTTTTGTGGCTTTTTTGATATATTTTACTGCTTTTTTTTTGGATCCGCCCATCACAGTGGCATAAAAACGCCTCGCCCCTCCGCTCGTGGGCGTACACAAGAATTTGCAAAAAGATGTTTTATTTCATGGGTTAGCCTCTCGCAAAAATACTTGTTCAAAAGAATTCTTGCTAGTAGATAAGTTGTATCCTTTATCAAATCATATTTATTTCTAAATATGAATCATGATAAAACTAAACCATGTCATGCTTTCAAATATCTATACCAATTAGTAAACAACCGGTGGAAGCTGGTATTTTGTTGCGAAACTAAAAACGCAAAATCTATACCGATAAATGTGGAATATTCTTACCTTCTATGTTGTTCGAACCTTCTTACGAATCAGTTGCTACATAGGCAGTAATTTGTTGCAATCAAAATGTTGCCACACTCGTCTGCCTGCCCACCCAATATTTTTTTTTTTTTTTTGACGGAAGCCGCGTTACCTGTTTTACCAGAAGGGCGACAACTCTAACTTATGCATGTAAAGGAAATGTGGTGGATCCAACAATAATTCGGGAAAATTTAAATTAAATATAACCTAATAAAAACAGAGTCAACAGTGGTCAAATGAATATATCGACTAAATCTGTTCATTAAATTATTATTTTCATGTTTCATTCTGGAAAAGGGGGTTGGGTTCAGGAGTGGGCACGGGATTTTTTTCCAAAGGGGGGGGGGGGGTCCACGCCAGACTCGGAAATTTTTCTAAACAACTTGCCAAACCTGAAAAACGTATTTCGGGGTGGGGGTGGAAATGTAGGAGAAGAAACTTTCCTAAGTCTATTTTCTTCAAATACATGACTCTCCTTACCGTTTTAAGAGAGGTCCGTGTTTCCAAGAGGAGGGGGTTTTAAGGATTTTTTTCTGAATTCTTTTACATAGAAATTTAATAACTCTGAAATTCCGGGGGGGGGGGGTGTTCAAGAATTTTTTTTTTTTAAATTTTTAATTTTTTTTTTTTTAATTTTTATTTTCATCACCATATTTTAAGACTATTTCTATTGCAAATTCATGTTAAGCTTCTTGAGTGGTGTAGATTGTAAATATTGTCCAGATCATGACACCAGGGTTTAGAGTGCGGCCACGAAAGGGGACGAAAGTTCAACATTGAAAAATATTGGAAAAAATCTTTTTAAAAATTCTTCTGAAAGACCACTGGGCCAGAAAAGCTGAAACTTATGTGGAAGCTTCCTAAGGTAGCGTAGATTGTAAATTGTTCAGATCATGGTTCGGGGGTGGGGGTGGGGGGGGGGGGGGTAGGAAGGGCCACAGTAAAATACATAAAGAAAATCTTTCAAAATCGTCTCTTTAAAAACAATTGGATCAGAAAAGATGATGCATGAAATAGCTTAAGAGATACTTCTGTGTGATTTTCACACCAATTACATTCATAAAATTACAAAAATAACCCCTAAGCAACTCTGACTGTGGGGCGACAATATGTGCAGTGAGGGTAGGTACATAATGTCGTCGGCAACGTGTAACTTTTCAACCGACGACAATATGCACCGATGGACGACAATATGTGCAATGAGGGTAGGTACTTACCAGGGATGGGGTAATTGAAAAAAGTAATTGTAATTGACTGTAATTAATTACATTTTTTGAATTGGAAGTAATTTGTAATTGAACATTTTTTCAATTACTTGTAATTGTAATTTAATTAATTACACTGAAAAAAATACCATGTAATTTCAATTACTTTTTCAATTACATTCAATTACTTTATATAATGCACATTCATGATATAATGTTACCTCTACCTCCCCATTTTACATGTACTGTTTTTTTTAATTGTAAAACATATCCTCAATCCATCAATTAAGCAAAATCTTAAGTTATACTGTTAATGTTTACAAACAAATAATTAAATGATTGGCTTGAGAAATAATAATCTAGTTTCTTTCTAATCATTATGTAAATTTGGAATTTTTTGATTTATGTTTATAAATCTGAATTTTGAACCACCCTTCTTAGGTCTATTCAGCTATGAAACACACATTAATTATATTTCAATCTTTGTTGTTTGATCAATAATAAAGAAAAAGAAGGTGTGTGTCATTAATTAAGTTCTCTCTTAAGCTTGTTGGGAAGAGATAATTGCCCTCCAGATCACAGCTGTAAATTGCAATCAAAACAAATCAACTCCTCTAAAGACGTATTCATTCCATGATTTAGAAGACAAAGCCATAAAGATAATTATTTCAATTTAAAATGCTTCGCTAGCTTTAGAAGAGGAAAAAAACTTTCAATTTGATAATTATTTTAACATCTAGTAAACAGATTTTTATGAATGAATTTTCTATCTGTACAAGCATTATTTATGAAGTAAAATTGTTCAACATAAATAGCAATTTAGGATGTTCAGGTTACCTTCAAAGGAAATATTTAGTTTGAGGGGTTACAGCTGCCACTCATTTTACTCTATTGAAATGCCCACTTTTAATCAAATATCAAAAGCCATGCAATTTGTGTACATGTAGGTTTTGTATGGTGGAAACTGCATTAAACTGATCTCGGATAGTACTTTAAGAGATTCTTTAATGTTTTGTAAATAAATCTTATTTAACCACAATGATATACAATGCCTATAGCTTATTATTTCTTGTACTGTTTGTGCAGAGGCTGGCTTATATACAAATAAATGATGTTCTGTATATTCATTGAAAAGGATTATAAAAATTTTCAGAAAAATTAAAAATGCAATTTGTAATTTAATTAATTACTTTTGCAAAGTAATAGTAATTTAATTAATTACATGTCTTAGAAAGCCTGTAATTTAATTGTAATTTATTTGAAGAAAACGTCAAAGTAATTGTAATTTAAATAACCCCATCCCTGGTACTTACTGTCGCCGACGACAATATGTACCGTCACAGGTGTTCATATTCCTGACATTATTATACTCTACGTAAAATTATATATATATATATATATATATATATATATATATATATATATATATATATATATATATATATATATATATAAGGCCAAGCATCATGATAAAATATGACATAATATATTTTTTATATTATTATATATCCCCATTTCATTTGTTAATGAACATAAGATGGAACTAGAACATACCGAGACATGCACACACACACGCGTAAATAATTTCTTGCCAATACAATTACATGTAGTAATTAATATAATGTAAACAATATTTTATTGATAAAATTGAACCTGAATGGACAGCAGTATGCAAAAGTGTAACAGCACGTTAGTAACAACGCGCCAGCGCAACGCTCTGGCTCAAAATAGCGACGCGCTAGCGCGTTATGCACAAAGCGCCGGCGCGCTGTCACTAACGCACTGTTACACTTCTGCAAGTGACAACGCGCTATCGCAAAGTGACAACGCGCTAGCGCGTTGTTTACAACACGCCGTCACGCTAACGCAACTTTACACAACACATCGTCGCGCTAACACACAACACACCGTCAAGCTAACGCAACCTTACACAACATGCCGTCGCGCAAACACGAAACATCCCGTCACGCTAACACAACTTTACACAATGTATTGTGTTAGCGCGACGGCGTATTTTGTAAAGTTGCGTTAGTGTGACGGCGTGTTATGTGTTAGCGCGACGGCTGGTTTTGTAAATTTGCGTTAACGTGACGGTGTGTTGTGTATTAGCATGACAGTGTGTTGTGAACAACGCGCTAGCGCGTTGTCACTTTGCGCTAGCGCGTTATTCCTAACGCGCCGCTACACTTTTGCAAATGGCCCTATCGGGACCCCATACAACAGGTCACTATCTTCTCCTTAAGTAAATTAAACAAAATCTGTAACTTTAGAACATTTAACAACAGAATATCATTATGCAACTCTTTTTCTCTACAACACTACAAATCAAAGATTGGTGTTTTCAGGGTCCATCTCTTCCTCTGTACCGGTGATTTGGCCACGGGTGCCACAGCACACGATAGGGATTTCTTTGAAGCTCGGAGATACAGGGAAATATGAACAACACTTTAGTTTTCCTATATATTTTGTGATGTATGGCCATTCGTACTGTACTGGCGTCAATTCTTGTGCACTCCCCGAGGAATATGTGTTCTCTCGCCATTTGACTAGTCCCCGTTCTTCCGGTGTACCTAGAACACATATGTATAATTATAATTACATCATTTCAGGTCAATATGAAATTTTTTGAAAAACATCTAAAAAAAAAATTACGAATATTCTGTCGGCTTTCTGCATGGTGGAACAAAGTGTGCAGAGGCAAGATCACTTGCAGTTTCTATCAGGGTATTCAGAACCTTATCTCAGCTTTCATTGTTACAACGCGAAACGTAATAACATCGCAAAACATAACAAACCGGGATTATTACACTTTGCGTTATTACATTTTCAGTCGAGCTCAACGCAGAATGTCATAATGCAAAATGTAATAACAAACTGATAAGATTATTATTTGTTAAATACAGACGCGTAGTGGAAACTTTGCAGGAAGCTTTTGTAGCAACATCGTCGGAAACCCATGGCCAATCTCGCATACGCTTATATTGCAATAAGCGTATGCGAGGTTGGCCGTGGGTTTCCAACGATGTGTAGCAACCGCTTATGATAAAACGCCGCTTAATGATAGAAATATCATTAAGCGTTGCACTGCAACGTTTAATGTCATAAATTATTGCATTAATAGTTGACATTCTACACTGCTTAATGATATAATTCTTTCATTAAGCGGCGATATAGCATTAGCGGTTGAGAATGTCAACTATAATGCAATAATTTATGACATTAAGGACATACGCAATGTAGTTTGAACTTTATTGTCTTTTCCCCTGGAGTTGAAGAGTTCCAATTTTTAAAGGAACTGTGTGCTACATTTTAATGTCTATATATGCTGTTGTACAATTCTTCTAAAACAAGTTTGGATAAACAAAACATCTAGAATATATGTTTAGTAATTTTTGTATATTTTTCTTTGAATTATACATGAATTTTAATTAATTGATATCTTTTCAAAACCCCTGGTAATCCATGCTGATTTTTTGTCTATGAACATCTGATGGCACTATAATCTTAAAGTAAGAATATCTTGAAAAATTATCAGTAGGTAAGGTACGTTGCGTATGTCCTTAAGCAATGCATTGCAACGCTTTATATTTCTATCACTAAGTGGCGTTTTATCATTAGCGGTTGCTACAAAGCTTATCCCAAGTTGGTAAAACTGCAGCAAATGTATACAATGTATGCCTATGACTGTTAATTTGTGGTAGACTAGTGGCTGATGTTTGCAGAAAAGCGTATAGATAAAGAATGATGTTACAATTAACGAAGTAATGTGAAAAACTCGAGTTAGTATCACCTCTAACCAACCAATCCAATACCGAATACAACATTCGAATCATGTTGCAAAAATAACTGCTTGTATCTATCATGTTATAAATTTTGCATTTACCTCCCAGGCCCGTAGAAACCGGGAGGGAGGAGGCACTGGGGCAGAACTCCCAATAAATTGCTAGTATATACATGTATTTTACTGTAGAAAAAGACTTTTTTCCAAGAATTTCTGTTAGGTTGTGCCCCCCTCCCAACTGACAGTGTTTCCTACGGGCTTGCCTCCACCCAGTTAGTTCAAAATTTACAATATCATATTTGGTTGTCTGATTACGCAGAGTAACAGGTGAAAGTGCTTAGTACATGTATTTAATACAAAAGCTGGGAACCATTACATTGTATATACTATAGAACGAGAAAATTCTAATGAGATTTACATATACCGGTATACATGAGACCACCAATCATATTCCAAAAGATGATCTGGCTAGTGGCTACTGGGGAAGATGCAAGAGTTCTTGGAACAGGTTCTTGTAGAAAATCGTCAATATCCGTGTAAATGATTTCTTTGTTTCGCGCCCTTACAGATTTTCTTTAAAATTTTACACCCTTTTTAATCTACTATTTGTTAATTAAATGCAAAATGTTGATATACAATTGTTCTAAAAGGTGCGTTGTCACGAATTTGTGATATATTAACATTTTCAGCAATTAGCTGTTTAGGAGGAAAATCGTATAAAGTAGTATAGATGGTAGAAGACCCGATGTCTTAATATAATGTAGCATACCTGGTACTGTGTTGTCCAGTATAAATCCAAGTATTCCTCCCACAAACATAGCAGTACCTAAGAGAACCTCCAGAACCTGGTCTAAATCACGGTTCCCTGTGAATTATACAATCCATAAATTGGGTTGATTTTTTTCATTCGTTCCAAGTGTCAGAACACCATTTCGTTTAAGGTTAACGAAAGTAATTCCTGACCCCCCCTCCCCCCCGGCGATTCGGACATTCCTGTACTAGACATGGCCTGAGTATCTGCGAGTTTGTGGGTCATTGGTCTAAAATTCTTTTAGACCAGTGAGCTACAGACCTGCAGCATAAATACTACGTATATTTTTTTCTATTTCACCTGATCCATGGAAATTTTAGGCGCACTGAATTCTTGAGTGCTGTATTTGACAGAGGTTGAAGGGGGATGGGGGTCTTGATTTTAAGCGCCTGCTCCACTTCAACCGAAACAAATCTCGCATCCCCTCCGGGATGTCTACGAGTTTTTTTGTTTTTTTTTTGTTTTTTGTTTTTTTTGTACTAAAATTTATTTTAAAAAATGTTGCACAAAATCTAAAAAGGATTAGCCCAAAAAACTTTTTTGAATTTTTACTGCCTATTCAAAGTTATGCATTTCTAGTCAGAATGTATAGCAAATTATAAATATATTAAAATACTGTAATCCCAGCGTTACATATACATGTATACATACACATGTATAATATTCTTACCGGTATCAATGGCGCCAGGGTTACTCTGTAGCCACTGCGGAACCATCAATCCCAAGATAATGGACACAGCTACAATGGTGAGATTTCTTGTAGATCCCAGGTCCGTGAATTGCAGGACAGATATTCCCACGGCTGCCACCATCCCAAACACCACCGTGAGACTACCACCAATAATAGGATCCGGAATTAGTGTCAGGACCGCACCAAATTTACCGATAATGCCACATACCAGCAAGATCAAGCCCGCCACCTGGAACACTCTTCGACTGGCAACCTTCAATAATATACACGAAGAATTGATGATAATTCTTGACCACTCCTTTTAGGAATAAATAATGATAAACTGTACATGTACAATTTTTTTTCCATGTATATACTGAAAGTTTGTCTGAACGAGACCACGCAACTGCCCACTTTACAGTACAGAGACAGAGAATGCAGAATGAAAGACACTTAAGAGAAGAAAAAAAAACTACCATTAATCTCGCATCAACGTAATCATGGTTAATTGTAAATCCCAGTGGCAATCCTACAGACCCAATCTTTGGTTCTTTACCTTTGTGATGCCAATCGCCCCGATGTTGCCGGAGTAAGAGGTAGTTGCATGTCCCGCGCCAACCATCCCTGAAATAATGCTAGAGAACCCCTCTGTAGCAATTCCTCTATTGAGCGCGTGAATTGGTGGGGGTTGTGCCCCAGATAATCTGGCACACGCAAAGTAATCGCCAATAGATTCTATCACAGACGACAAAGTGGCGGCAAGCATGCCCACGTACCCAGCGGCCGAAAAAGTGGGCATCCCAAACTGAACTGAGAAAAAAAATAGTATACTTTATAGTTTACAGTCCACTGTCATTAATTTAATGCATACTTGTGCATTGGAGTATACTTCACAAAGACCAAAATCATGAACAAATTTTAAAATAAATAATGATCGTGACTACAAAAGTTATTACATACATGGATATGGAAAATAGAACCAGGGCATGGAGTCTAAAACGTCAAGCCTGGCATCAGATCTTGCGTAGTAATTGACCGAGGTGACGTTGTTGGGGAAAACGTCAGTCACGGTCAGGACGTGGCACAGAATCCAGCTAATAATGATGCTTATTAGAACCTTTTAAAAGATTACAAAACATGTTAACAATATCAAGTGATCATCAGCCAATGTGTATTGATGTTAAAGACTGCAAATACAATGTGGCTGATTTTAGCCTAAATTACTCGTTAATTTTATCTTGAATTGAAATTGATTTTCAATTTCATCGTGTCAAAGGGAGGGGGGGGTAATAAAGAAAAGAAACGATGGGACGTGTATTTCTTTTTCTTTTTATCTTCATCGTGGAACTTACAGGCATTAGTTGAAAGAACGGATATTTTGTCACGTGACATTTCTTTTCTCTTGAGTAAGCCGGAAACGGAATCTGGAATCCACCCAAATACAGACTGCTGGCAACCATAACAACTAGTGTCCTGTCGTAAATAGATCAAAATTCTAATCAATGAGGGTAATAAGCTTTTGGCTCACCTGAGCTGAAAGCTCAGTTAAGCTCTTCTGATGATTTTGTCCGTCAACCGTCTGTCCGTCCGTCTGTAAACTTTTCACATTTTCGACTCCTTCTCCAGAACCACTTGACAAATTTCAACCAAACTTGCCACAAAGCATCCTTGGGTGAAGGGTATTTAAGGTTGTTCAAGAACCATTGGGCTGAAAAGCTGAAACTTATGTGAAAATTTCTTTACATAGTGTAGATTCAAGTTTATTGAAATCTTGACCCCTGGGGGTAGGGTGGGGCCACAATGAGGGATCAAAATTTTACTTATGAATTTACAGGAAAAATCTTTAAGAATCATCTTGTCAGAACAGCAAAACCATGATTAGTCATATGAATAGGTAAGCATCCTCAGAGAGTGTAGATTCAAGTTTGTTTAAACCATGACACATGGTGGTAGGGTGGGTTCACAATAGGGATCAAAGTTTTACATTGGAAAACATAACAGAAAAAATCTGCTTATACAGCAGGGCCATATTAACTTAGGTGAGCGTTGTGGCCCATGGACCTTTTGTTTTTTAAATATTTGAAAGAATAGTGTGTCTTAAATAGCGTCTTTTGTAGATACATGTATATCCTCGTAAATAACATTTATTTGTACCAACTTAAATGTAATTTGAAAAGAAGGGGGGGGGGGGCAAGAATAGCTTAATTGATAAAAAGACTGTGTGAGAAAAGAAAGCATCGAATAAAATTTGCACAAATGTATATTTGCTAAAAAATAAAGGTTGTTGACAAAATGTAGTATGTAATACTAATTTAAGGTCAAGATCTAGTGAATGAAAGGTGCTCACAGATTTCACAAATTTGAGATACACATTCTTTTAATTATCCTTTACGAATATAGCTTGGTAAAATAAGGTGTATCCGGACATAATTTGGGGTAAACTCATCGGAAAAACATATTATAAACTGCCCATTTTCAATGAAAAATGAAGAACGTCTGGTATAAATATGGGAGTTTTTTTTCCATCTCAGACAAAGGAAATGTATCAATATTGCCTACAGTCTCTCAGAAAACGGTTTTTCATATCTTCTTGATCTCTACTTTAAAATGATATTAAACGGAATAAGGTTTTCGGAGTTATATTTGACATGATTTCAAATTAAATTCCATGAAAGTGCTTTATTTTCTACATAATTCTATTGAAGCCGTAAAGTACGGGAAAAATTAAGTTTAATTCAATTATGACGTCATAATGAATCTAGCACCAAGAAGAAAGTCTAAACTTATTTACTAGATCTTGACCTTAAATTAAATCCACTGTATTGCATTTGTGTCTGTGCAAATAATGAAATTCAGTTGTAACACCAGAGCGTATTCAAAGTATCCGGTGCGTGTCCATAAATATCTCTGAAGGTGTCTTTAAAATACTTTTACTGCTACTAAACTCACGCTTCAGAGAAAAGAAAGAACAATGTCAGTCAGAATTTAACAGTTGTAAATTCTTTGAAGAAGGAAAAGTTGCGTCAAGTGTTACAGCAATATTTATCTATATTTACATTTTCAAATATTTTTTTTATTTCTAAAATAGATAAGTTTTGGTTCAGTTGCACCGAGAGCGAAAGCATTCTAACCTACTGAAACTTCAAATATAATTGTATTTAACTAGCTGTGGCCAGCCGTCCAAATCTTGTACATTTAAAATTATAGATATTTCGTATACATTATTCCTGCAGATCACACACCAAATAGGCTCATGTTCTTTACCACAATCGAGGACTCTCTCTCTCTCTCTCTCTCTCTCTCTCTCTTTCAGTGCAGAGTGGCGTTTCCTCTCCCACTCGTCCCTACAATAAATTGTTTTCTCCTTTCTAAGGAATTATGTAACATTTTGTTATTATGTAAATCATTTTGTAACAACCAAAGTTAAATAAAGCTCAAAACGTTTCATTCAAACGGAAAATGTTACCACTTCAATGCTCATCATTAGGAGGCACTTACAGAATAGAAATACCCCAGTGTATTTTGTTGAAGTCTGCAGCTACTGCAGTCAGAGACAGACCGATTAAGGAGATGGTTGGAGCAATTGTCAGGGGACCAATGAACCGAAGGAAAAAACCCATCAACCCGGTACAACCCAACACAACCTGGGTTACTGAGGCCAACATTAAATTCCCTTGTATCTGAAATAACAGACTTATATTATAGATATATACAATAATAACATTACGATTTTTTTCTCTGATCATCTTATACAATTGAATCGATTTACAGATGAATGCGTATATAAACATGTTTTAACTTCAATGCATAACGAGAATCCTTTATTCCTTAATTACCTCACGAAGACGAAATTGCCACACCTCATCCCGATCAGTTACAGTTGCGTTTTCTGAAAAAAAGCAAATTATCGATGGGAGTGGGATAAACTTTAAATTATATATATATATATATATATATATATATATATATATATATATATATATATATATATATATATATATATATATATATATATATATATATATATAATATTCCACTTCTATTTTGTAAATGCATACTTTATTCTCATCTTAGAATTCAAAAAACAATTTCTGCATCTAACTGATGTTTTGAGTAAAGTCTTTTGATATATGTGTAGTTAATATATAATATCCGTCAATGTGTTGTCATGTTGTAAATTTTAAATTTACCGGGTGGCAGTAAATACAAAATTTACAACACGACAATATCCTTCCGGTAAGTACACAAATTTAAGACACGTAGAACTGGGGGGGGGGGGGGATGTTAAATACCCCCCTTTTTTGTTGCAGAATGGCCAAACTTTCTTCTCTTATTGTATCACTGAAAATGCTGTGTCATTGTAATAACAAGAGGCCTACGGACCACAACACTTACCTGAATCATTTTGGTCCTCCTATTCTTGAAGATTTTCAAATATTTTCTCCCTCTATATTCCCATAAAATTGTTGGATTTGCTTGCATATCAATAACAGTAAATATGGCCCTATTCCCATTTAAAACTTTGATCCCTTATTGTGGCCCTATTCTACTCCTGGGGGCCATGATATGAACAAACTTGAATCTGCACCCTGAAGATGATTGCAAATTAATATCAATAATCAGGTGATATCTAGATTTTTTCTAATATATTCACATGTAAAACTTTGATCCCTTATTGTGGCCCACTAACCCTATCCCCGGGATTCATGTTTTGAATAAAATTGAATCTGCACTATATAAGGTTGCTTACATATTAAAGAGACTTAAAGAGTCAAAATGATATGTTTCTTTTATGATATTTGTATCATAAATCAAAAGATTTATCAAAAAATATGAATATACCTAAGTTTTGATTAACTCAACTGCAGTGTAAAGCAAGCGAAAGCGAAAATATACGAATTTCACATTCTTAAGAGTTATCTCCCGTTGTCGGCGTAATTCTTATTTTTGTCACTATATCCTTTGTAATTACCTGTAAATGTTTTCAACATTCAAACGCCATCTAACAATTTTGATTCGTATTTGTAATGTCATAATATGGGGCAACATAAAAATCATAATGAACATTTACATACATATTTCATTTGTAAAACATTGCCCCGTAAACTTGGTAATGTTATAGAGGGAAAACAGTGCCTTACGCCGGTTGCGAACAGGAAGGAGGGAAGCAACATTTTCCTCTTGGGCCAAAAAAACAAATCTCAATAAAAGTAGACTTTTACGGTTCCGAAACCTGTAATTGTATGAAACCTTTCCAAAACTTCCATGGGCTATACAAAAATTTTATTTTTTGCCAATATTCCCATTTTTGCGTTACTGTGTCTCTCTAATATTACTAATCATGGGCCTGCTGTTCTTTAGAAGAAGATTTTTAAAGATTGTTTTCCCAATTTATTCCCATTTACTACACTGTATGTTTTTCCTTTTGTGACGCAACCCTACCCCTAGGAGCCATGTTTTGAACAAACCTGAATCTGATCTACCTGAGGATGCTTGTATATCAAAATCACTAATCATGACCCTCCTGTTTTTGAAAAGTAAATTTTGAAGATTTTTCCTTTATATTCGTATATACAACTCGATCCCCTATTGTGCCCCCACCCTTATACCGGGGACCATGAAATCTACAGTGTTTAAAGAAGCAATCACTTAAGTTTTGTCTTTTTCTGGCCCAGTAGTTCTGGAGAAGGTTGCTACCAAATTTTCACTATTTTTTAATTATCTCCCCTTGAAAGAAGGCCCTTCACTCAGTTAAGGATGATTGAAATTGGTTTTGGAGATGTTTACAATGTGAAAAATTTACAGACACATACCACAAATAAACGATACGCAACAGACGACAAACAGACGACAGACAGACACCGGACACTCTTCGAACAAAAAAGCTAACTTGAACCTTTGGCTCAAGTGAGCTACAAAGTTTAGTTCAGAGGTTTATCGTTGCTTGCATTTCACGGAACTATAAATAAAGTGTACATACTAGTACTTGTATGTACCAATGAGGTATTGGTATGGCCAATTTTTCACTAACGATAAAAATTGAAAATCAAGTTTTCATTTTCATGAATAATGACAACTTCATTCTTATTTTTTAAGAGGTCATTCAATAGTTTACTTTCCTATTAAATTACATTAAACAATTCAAAAAAGGACTTTAATTTAATTCAGTTATTCATTTTTTTTTTAAATTTATTTTTTTGTTGAAAACTTAAGAATTTTGAACAAACATTGGAATGATGATGAAAACACTGTTACACATTGAACATTACGCTCTCAAAACTACTGAGCCATTTTTTTCGGACAGAAACAAGCAAATCTGTTATCAGGAACCCTTGAAGTTGGTATTGATATATACCTTGCCTTGTTGGGTGTCATTGAGTAAAAAATCTCAAAATGATTTTTGTGTAAACCCATTTTAATCAATATTTTAAAAGCACATTGCGTATGTCTGTAACAGGGAATAATGATTTTAAATTACTATTTTGAATTTGATATATTTCGAGGCAAGTTTGGCATATTATGTGCATAATAAAAGTCTAAGATCATTTATATAGAACGGTCTCGTTTTATATAGAATTCAGGGTTCGACACTAACTTTTTTACCTTGGTGGACCGCAGGTCCACTAGTCAAAAAATATTGGTGGACCTTCTCAAATTCTGGTGGACCTTTATAAATGTTTGAATTAATGAATGAATTCATTGCAAAAGGCTTGAAACCAACTTATGTACCCAGTCTCGTCAGACTAATAAAGTATAAGTTTAACCAGTCAACAGAAACAAATCAATTAGTCAGGAGTTTTCAGCAATATTGTGAAACATATTTTCAATATTTAAAAAAAGAACACAATCTACATCTTCAAACAGTTTGTTATTTTAATTTCATTTATTTACAATGGTAACAACCTGCGTTTATACTGTAACCTTTTTGTAACCTTATTGCTAAAGGATAAATAGGGGATGTACCCTAGGGTACAAAAGTATGACCTCAAAACACAGTACCAATTTCTTGCCATATATGCAATTTTTTGGTGGACTCGGGCCGCCGGTCCACCGTTAGTGTCGAACCCTGGAATTTATAATCACTGAAACACATAAAAAGAAAAGCTGTAACACTAAATGGTATCAGAAACGTCTATTTTCGAAAATATTACTCACCTTGTAAAGCACTGACATCCGGACATCTGAATTTCTGGATTGACATCATGGCGACGATTGGTGCTATAAAAGTATGAGATCCTCCCTGAATAATGCCGAGTCTACCAAAAAAGAATATCAATTTAATTCTTGTTTCCGAGAGATGATAAATCTATAGAGAAGTCACAAAACTTTAGCAGTAATTAACATATCTGCAACTTTGGTAAAGAAACAACTATCAATAATCCAGAGATTAAGATTCTGGTTTACAAAACAATCCAGGTCTTAGTCAAAACTCCTTTTGAAAGCATACGGTATATCTTATACTGAGTAATTTTATAAGTTTATTCATGAAAATACATTATAATACACTATAGATATTACCGTGCACTCTTTCACTACATTTTTAATCAGTTCTTGTGTTGAAGATTACGCCAAGAATCTTATAGTTTACAGTTCATGTTATTCTAGTGTACATCTCACCTTATACCAGTTGTAGTTTGTAGTATGGTGGCCACTCCACACATAAACATCGTGATACAGAGAAGCTGGGCTCGGGCGTCAGCATTGTCTCGGGAACAGAGAAGTTCAGTCAGAATGAACGGTATGGACAGCGTACTTCCTAGACAAAGTAGGGCTTGCTGTAAGAACAGAGAAGTTCAACAATAATCAATCAACCAATCCTAGGCAGAGTAGGGCTTGCTACATGTATAACGAGAACAGAGAAGTTCAGTTCGAATTATTAGTATAGACAGCGTATTTCCTAGACAAAGTAGGGCTTGCTGTAAGAACAGAGAAGTTCAGTCAGAATAAATGGTGTAGACAGCGTACTTCCTAGACAGAGTAGGGCTTGCTGTAAGAACAGAGAAGTTCAGTCAGAATAAATGGTGTAGACAGCGTACTTCCTAGACAGAGTTGGGCTTTCTGTAAGAACAGAGAAGTTCAGTCAGAATAAATGGTGTAGACAGCGTACTTCCTAGACAAAGTTGGGCTTTCTGTAAGAACAGAGAAGTTCAGTCAGAATAAATGGTGTAGACAGCGTACTTCCTAGACAGAGTAGGGCTTGCTGTAAAAACAGAGACGTTCAGTCAGAATAAATGGTACCTAGACAGCGTACTTCCTAGGAAGATACCATAACGGTAGCTCAGTCGTTAGAGCGCTCGCTCCGTGATCGGGAAGTAGTCGATTCAAACCTCGGCCGCGACTGACCAAAGATGAAATAAAATAGGTGGCAACTGTTCCGTTGCCAACCTCTCGGCACTTTGAAGTGAAAGTTGTGAGTCCTTAAAAACCGAGGCCCCATTTCACGACAGGCGTTGGCACGAAAAAGATTCCTCACTTCTCAATGACCCTGATGCCGAGTACACGTCAAAATTTGAAGCCCTTCACCGGTATAGGGTGACTTCTCTACATCAGTGAAACAATAATCAATCAATCCTAGGCAGAGTAGGGCATAACGAGAACAGATAAGTTCAGTTCGAATGAATGGTATAGACAAAGTTCTTCCTAAACAGAGTATGGCTTGCTTGATAGCGATAACAGAGAAGTTCCAGTCCGAATGAACTGCGTACTTCCTAGGTAGAGTATGTCTTGCTTTATAGCGAGAACAGAGAAGTTCAGTCCGATTGAACGGTATAGACAGCGTACTTCCTAGGTAGAGTAGAGCTCGCTTAATCCAATAAAAGACTTCTGTTGGAAACATCTACATGTACTTGATCTGCTTTAAAATTATACAGAAAATCTTCACCAAACATGGGATATGCAAATTATGAGAATAGTTAAATTAATGTCTTTTTTCCGTGTCAACAATTACGGATCTAAGGGTTTTGCTGAAGTGACCCTACAAGCATCAGTGCAGTGGTTACAGAAAAGCAGATAATTTGATTTTATTTCCCCGAAGAATACATATTATGCGCAGTACTAGGCAGATAGCATACAATAAACAATAGAATTTCTTTCTCCTTCTAAAACTATGTATTCTAAAGACCCTCAGAAATTGTAGATTATCAATCAACAAGAAAGGGAAAGGGCCGATGTCGCACGAAACTCAAACTCTGCAGCCCCTGTATATAACAACCCGTGTGATTAAGACTAGATCCTTGGTAAGGGGTGGGTGGGTGGACAGGGAGTGTAAAACCCCCTCTCAATTTTTTTTTTATTATTGTTATGAAATTTGCATAGCAATTTGCTCTGCAAATGACTTAAGAACCTTAGACAGAGGAATCTTTTTTTAAATCTTAAGGAAAATCATATGTATGAAGTAAAATATACGGTTTTGGTAACAATACCCCTCCCCCTTTTCCCAAAAATATCTAAAATTATATCCCATAACATTATTATCCTCCTCCCCCATCCCAATTCCGTTTTAAAAAAATCCTGACTTTACCCTTAGTACTTACTCTTAATCACTTTTATCAAATTCTCAAAGCTTGCCCTTTAAAATTGTAAAATGAGGGAGAGATTGATAGAAAGACTGATCAAAAGTCTAGTCCCTCCAGTATCACTGATTGTGTGACTAATAAATGGAAAGAAAAAAATGCTTATTTCAACAAGATTGGATTTTGGTAAAATGAATGGAAATTCCTTCAGCGATAAGATTGCATAATAGACGTAGGTTTTAAAAAGATAAATACTTTGGTTACTCACTTGAAGAGCGAACAGAAAGCAAAGGTGGGGGGAGGGGATATCTTCCACCCCGTAAACTATCCCTCCCCTATTAGCCTCTGCCTCCTGCGGTTTATCCTGCCCCTCTCTCATGACCTCTGTATACTGGGGTGCCTACTTGACTTTTCCTAACGTATGTTATTCAGTATTGGTGATATCAGGTCATTCAGTATGATAAAACACGGATGTGTAAAATCGCAAAAGAAACGAGAAAACACGGTCGTCGTTTTTTTTTTTTTTTTTTTTTTTTTTTTTTTACCTATGCGATTGCCCTGACAGGGGTTTTATCTTGTTAAATTGGTACAAACAAAGTTATTTACAATATATGCAAAGAGTACCTATCATACTGTCCAAGATTTTACATCTAGTGGCTTGTTCATAAAGAAAGAAGGGGGGAGGAAGGAAGAGAGAGAGAGGACGGGAGAGAGAGAGAGTAAATATTAAAAAGTTCCCGGACTTTAATCTTCAAATAAGACTTCTCTTATCTCAGGGCCTAATAATCCTAACTGTTCTCTCGTATTCAACAAAAAATCGCTTCTCTTAATCTTATCGAATCAAAGCTTAAAACTGTCGCATCCTGAGCTACTCATATAAATTTTAAAACAACAACAAGAGCAAAGGGGTAAAATGTTAAGCCTAATGACCAAACCACGAGTTGATCCCATCCTTTTCGAGATGCGAAAGAAGTCTAGGAGAATATGTACAGCTCTTTTATCTTAAGCATAAAGGACATTCTAGGTTAAAACTTGCAATCGATCTTGTAACATTTTATTTTTACCTCTTTAAAAGAAGAAAAGTTAAGGATAAATAATACAATCAATTAAAATGTTTGTTGCATGTATTGGTACATATTTTTTGACTGATTTTGAATAGAAATGACACAAATACTAGTCATAAAACCCATGTATTATAGGAGTATTTCAGATTTCTAAAGCCCGAGTACTCGAGAGAAAAAAAAAGAACAACCTGGTATAGATAATATGGGTGAATAATGCCAGGGGTTTTTATTGCCTATACAAAAGAGATGTTTGTCATATAAATCATTGCTAAGGGCCCCCTTTTTGCTTTCTGTAAAAACAAAGGGTATGGTAATAAAATTTTGCACCTAAATCATTTATGTCTTCAAATATCTGTGACAGAGACAAAATATTTGAGTAAGGCGTGTTAGTGATTTCTGATCTCCCATCGAGCCTTCCTGTTTTATAGAGCATCGAATAGTTCCCATTACCTTCAATGTTAACATTTTGGAGACACATACAACTTACAATTTTTCAAGTTTGATAGAAGAAGCTTCCTGAAGGAATTATACACGCTTCCGACTGGAACAAAGCTATTTCATATTTTCTAATGTTTGTCGGAGATTTTAATAATGGGAAGATTTCTAGTAAAAAAAAAATGGTTTTCAGAAATTGATATTTAGGCTTAAACAGTTATAAGTAAGTGTACATAAGTGTTTAGCTCTAAATGTATTCTCCTTTGTATCTGGGTAACGAGCTAAGAGGCAATAATACAGTAAAATTAGTGCTAATTGTAACGGGAACCGTTACAGATGTTCCTCAAACACTCCCCAACTCCCTTATGGGCCCCATTCCTTACAAGTTTCATTAAAGTAGGCAATTCTTAAATTTAAGAATTATTTAATCGAAAAACAACGCCGGTATAGTCCTTTGAGTATTAACCAATCAGATTTCAGAGCACGCGCATGGCCATGTTTTCTAGATATTTCACATGTCTTCCTCGTAAAAAGACTACATATAAGAAATCTCAAACATTTTCATTTACAACTATGAGAGATACAGCCATACAAGTATAGCCAATCAAAATTCAGCACACGTTCATGCATGTTCTTGCATTCAATTTTGATAGTAGTACAGTGTATGAACCTATTATACATAGTATCTATATTCTGAAGTTCACCCTGTTTTGTTCAAAACTAAGAAAGTTACAGCAATTTAAAGTTTAAGCCAATCAAATTGCAGCACACTGCATGCGAGCTTTTCATGCATATATATCATAATGTAGGACCTCGATCCTTATGTATGGCTATATTTTAAATTTCAAAGTATTTCGTCAAAAAACAAGAAGGTAATAGATATTTTTTGTGCTAGCCAATCAGAGCGAAGCACACGTGCTTGCGCGTGCTTTCTCGCTACTTCAACCACTTCATCTTGTCTACACCACTAATATATTTTTATATGATAAGGTTCAAAGCATATCATCAAAAATAGGAAGGTTAAAGCTTTTTCAATTGATTAAGTCATTTAACCCCTCACATGCACGTGCACGCAAGTGCACCCAAAATAACCGTTCTGTACATCTACACAACATGCGTTTTAATCCTAAAAAAGGTTTCATCTCAATCGGACGAGTAGTTTCCGAGAACACTCGCTGACAAAACAGTACCAGAGAAGAAATTTTGAAAAAAGAAAGTAATACAATATGTTTCCAAACTTATAATGAATTCAAGCTTACAGCGGCGTAATTTTTGTTCCATGTTTTATTGAACTTACATTGTATTAGATACCAGTATAATGAATTACATTTACATCGAAAATCCAATTAAAACTTTGTTTTAAGTGTGTTTTACTGAGTTTGACATATTAAATATGTATCAAATGGAGCATGCAATGCTCAAGTGAGCATATGACCCACGGTCCTCATATTAGTATTTCTTATTATAAATTCATAACCAGTTCTGAAATTAGAGTATTTAGTTAATGAAGCCCCCAAAGGTCACCTGGATGAAAATGAAAATTTGAAACCTTTTGCAGGGACCACAATCATATTCCAAAAGAGGATATGGCTACTGTCTAGAATGTAAAAGGAGTTCTTGAAACCATTTTTCTTCTCGAAAAGCGTAGGTTTCGGCCTTCAATTGGCCTCCGAATTGAAAACGAAAATTCTGAAATCTTATTGCACATTTACAGGACACAACCAATCATATTTCAAAAGATGATTTGTCTACTGTAAAATTTTAAGTCGAGTCTTGGGAAAAAATTTAAATAGAAAAACTTCGTTTTTCAACCCTCATTTAGGGCTCAGAATAACCTGAAAACTCTAAAACCTTATTGCACATCTATTAGGGCCCATCAGTCATGAATTGGGTACCGTTTAAAATGTAAAATGATTCCAAGAAAAAATACATTCCACTGATGAACGGACGGACAGACCGTGATAACAATATACCCAAACTTTCTTGGGAACTCCTTTTGGGGGGGGGGGGGGTAATCTACACTTTCTTTTAAAAAGTTGAGATATATTGTTGCTATCCTTGTCGTTCGTTCGCCACACTATCTTCTTCCTCAGATCCTCTTAATGCATCTGTTGGAATAAAATTAGTGGTACAATGTATTCTGCAGATGTCCAAAACGTTTTTCATTTCATCCTGGGGGAGAGAGCAATTTGGGGGTGAAAAACTACGTTTTTTCTTCAAAAACCTAGTTCCTGGAATTCTTTTAGCGACAGCAAAATTAACTTTTGGAATATGAATGGTGGTTTCCGGTAGATTTGCAAAAGATTTCGGATTATAGATTTATGCCTCGTTGAATTCGTTAATTTCAGACTGTTACTAATTTTATGATATACTAGTACTTACATTAAGAGCCCATTTGCCACATGCTTACCCGAACACTTTATGCTCAATTTGATACGTGTGTATATTTATGTAAATACATGTAATAGAAAAAGTAACAAGCATTCTGAGAGTATTGCATTAGCAATACTAGTCCCCTACCGGCAAGTGTAATCTGGTTCCGTTCCCGTTAAGAATTGAAAATGCCATAATTCCGTCAAAAATTAATGAAGCGGGACGAAATGCAAACTTGATCTGTAACTAATCAAGGTAAAGCCACATACCAAAAATCAGCTCAATATCTACAAGCGTTTAGAAGAAAATTGCGGAAAACCCGTAAAAATTGAAAAGGCCGTAATTCCGTCAAAAATCAATGAAGCGGAACGAAATGCAAAGTTGATCTGTAACTCATCAAGATACACTCACATACCAAAAATCAGCTCAATATCTGCAAGCGTTTAGGAAAAAAGTGCGGAAAACCAAGTGGGACAGACTGACAGACAGACAGAGGGACAGACAGACAGACGGACAGACAGACAGACAGACGGACGGACAGACTCAGAGGAAACCTATAGTCCCCTCCGGTTTCACCGGTAGGGGACTAATAACTTCTTGGCTAGTTAACCTTTTAAAATGTCCTCCTTTGCCTTGTTTTAAGCAAGATTGTCTTAAAGGAGGGATCATTCATCATTTGATGTTGTAAGAAATGCAAAAAGGTAATATCACTCATTTGAAAAGGTCATATTACTAATTCAAAACGAATAACTGATATCACCCATTCGAATATGAGATATCACTATTCAAACTGGTGATATCACTTGTCCATTTCTGATGGGTGATATCACCTATTCGAATATTAGGTCATATTACCTGTTTATTTCGAGTAGGTGTATCATCCATTTGAAAAGGTGATATCAATCATTCGAATATGTGATATCACCTATTCAATTTGAACAAGTGATATCACTTGTTTGATTAATGAATAGGTGATATCACTTAATAGCAATAAATACCAAAACGGCTCCTCATATATGATAGTTATCCACAATACAAATAAAGTAAGTGAATTCTTTGGAGAAATCTTGTTGTACTCATGGACTTACAAAACATGGGGTTTAATTTCTCAGGATTTTAGGAGTTTTTTGGTTCAGATAGATTCCCTACGGTACCAATATGAAAATAGAAAATGAAAGGCCTTGAGTCATTCATAAAAATTATTTTCTGTACCCGATGCTTGTTTGTAAATAATTGGATTTCTCTTAATGCTAGCATTTATGTTACTTTAAACATGCGTTGGTATTTTAAAATAAGCAAAATGTACTGTATTAATCATAAAGATAGCAAAAATAGGGGAGGTCAACATTAAAAAATTTCAACTCATTACCGCTACTTTTCTTCGAAATTTTGGGTGATCATTACCGCTACATTTTATCAAAAAGACTATTGCCGATTACAACTCATTATCGCTACATATCGAATCAGCTAGCAATGGCACGGAATACATTGTATAAGTTCTACCCATTATATTTCATATTAGAGATTTCCAGAC